ATGTCGCTGGGCCGCTAGCCCGATAGTATATTACAAAATAAGAAATAACTAAGAAGGAGGAGAGTTCGTAGAAGGGACTTCGTCAGATGACGAACCGTTTTCGCGTTCGTCGGGTTCGAGGCTCCTTTGGTAGATATCCCAATGCTTCTTCAGAAACCTGATGTGTTTTCGAAGGCAGCCGGGAATGCGAGCGATAGAGTCAAATCCCCTCCTCTCCCAGTTATGAACATCCGACTCCAAACGTCGGATCTTCCTTTCAGTTCTAGCAATCCTGTCCTCAAGGACACGGCGTTTCCTTCCAAGGCGTTGCCTTTCGGAGCAGAAGAAAACGTACCTTTCGGTGATCTGCAAAGAACAGATACATTACGAATCTATCGGGTAAAACCTTGAAACAACTGGTATCGAGGTCAAACCTGTTCCATGAATTCATGGCACTCGATCTTTTCTTCCTTAGACATGGAAGAAAGAAAACAAGGAATGGCAACCCCGTGTGGAGTAAATCCATCCCCAGTCGGAAACAGAGATTCACCCGAAGGGAATCGTGGTGGATTAGGATCAGAAGGTTCGCCTTGGGGAGAGGCCATCGTAAATAAGAGATCTAGAAAAGAAGAACTGCAAAGTTCCTTATGAAGAAAAATGATCTATTGGAAAATTTCCAAAATCCAACTCTCCTTATATAGAAAAAACATATAAGGGCACTCACTCGAGTATTTATTGAAAAAGAAAGTTGAACGTCAATCTATTGATTTGACAGTTACAGTCTTTCGGTTTTTGCATACATGCATAAACAAGACCTACAAAATATAGGTTATTCGAGTATCAATTAACACCTAGTAGGCGAACTTAATTTCGAGCGTGAAATTCAAGGACATTTATTAAATGGTATCATACCTTTTTTGTCCTTTTTAAGAAAAGCAAACAGTTCTCACTGAAAATTTTTCTAATCGAACACATTTTGAAGTATCACGAAGTGTTCTTGTAAGCCGACCTCTAACCACGCAACCGAGAGACCGAGGAAAAATTCTAATGTTTTTTCTTTAAAAAAGGCAAGTAGGTCTGATCAGCCTATCTCTCCTATAATTCTAAACCATTTCGGTTAGGAGGACTTTGCAAACCCTCCAGGTAAAATCGATGGTTTCCACCAAAATTAAATATTTCTTTCTAAAGAAATTTTAATTAAAACCCTCCTTGGGTAAATTATTCGAAACAGTAATAAAAGTCCCCTTGGGCAAAAAACTCAAAGAGTAATAAACGGCCCCATGGCCAACAAAGCAAATTTCATGTCTTAAAAATTAAAAGGGACAGTCCCCATAAAAGGTGAATGCAATCACCGTCATTCATTCATAGGCGAACCGCCTTCATCTCCTACTTGGCTTGAGACAGGAGCACCCCCGATGTTAGCATCTTGAGTTGTAAGAACCACCTCGGGGTTAAGCGAGCTAGTACCCTGAGGGGGTTCGCTCCTCGATTCAAAGTCATCTCCCATAATCGAGGAGATGGCAAGATCCTGACCAGGGAACCCCTGAGTTCGTCCCGAAGAGATTCTGTCAATATTGGTTCCGAACTCATTAAAATGAGCACGGGGAGAACCAGTTAACATCATCTCATCCAAAGACAAACCGGTATTAGGTTCGGTCAATGGAGGGGAATCAGCGAACTCAGAAGCAAACTACTGCAAATCCAAATATGGCTGAGGAGCAGTAGCTAGCTTAGCTTCAGTCTCGGCGAGCTCAGCGCCAACTGTCTCCTTTTCTTCAGCCAAATTGATTGTTTCTTCCTCTATCTCCTTGATCAGATCAAGATTGCTTTTCATCTCGTCACGCTCGGATTTAAGTTTGTTCCAAGCGTTATCCGCGGAGAAAAATTCTTGCACAGCAAGAAGGAACTTTTGCCCGGCTCCTTTAACCTCTTTCTGAGCATCATGAGATATCTTGCGAACATCTTGATCTTTCAGTACGGAAAGAGACTCATTTTCGCGTTCAAGATCCTCAGCAACTGTTTTGACTTTGCTAAGCTCTGATTTCAGAAGCTCGATCTCACCTTTCGCAAAGTCATGATCAGCAAGGACATTTTTTAGTTTTTGCTCTGTCTCAGTCAAATTCTTCTTTGTCTCCTCGCCAGATCTCTCGAGTCGCTCGATTTCTTCCCGACGAGCCGAGTCGAGGCCAGCAGTCTCCTGCACAAGCCGACTAGAAGATTGCAGTTTCTCAATCTCTCCTTCAGCAACAACAGCTTTCTTGGAAACTTTGGCAAGCTCCTCTTCGTAATGGTTGATGATGCCGTTCACATCCAGATTTGCCTAATAAAAAAAAAATGCATTAAAGAAAATTTTTCAAAATCGGTTGTTTAAGGATTCGAATAGTCAAACCTGGGAGGAGTGGAATGAATGACTGATATACATCTTCTTGATGTCAGGCCTCCAGCGCTCGAAGGATGGAAGTTTCTTCCCAAAGCGAGTGTGGAAACATCTAAACATATTTCCAATCTTCTCTTTATCTAAAATATAGATATTTATGTGAGGATTAAGCCTCCTTAAAGATCGGTTAATTTCAAGTAACAAAATGTTAATTGAAGGATACCTTATTGGGATGAAGCTCTGGCAACAAGTCCTGAGTTCGGAGACGATCGAGCCCTAGAGGTATTGCCTCGGGGACGTCTAGGGGGTAGCATCCCTGAATTCAGCGGTTCCTTTAAAATAATTCCTGAATCAGGGTTTTCATCCTGAGCTTCAGCAGATTCAGGAATTGACAGGTTCGAAGGAGCGGCTCTGTCCTTCCTTGTGCTCTTGGGACGTCCCTAGAGCGGGGGTTCAAGTTCCTCAGCCTTCCTCTTCTTCATGAATGAAGAATCGCCTATAAGACCTTCCTCTTCAGCAATGGCAGCGACCATGTTGTCTGCTGCTGGGGTAGAGGGAGAAGCATTGTTTATGGTGACCACAATTGACTTTGAACCCTCAAGAGACCCGTCGTCAACTAGAAGAGTTTTCCGGTAGATTTTGTCGTCCCCGGCGGAGGATGCATTTTTCTTGTTTTTTCCAATTTGGGAAATCTGATCTTTGACCTTCTTGTCTGCTTCTCTGATCCTTCTCCTATCTCGGGCATTCAAACTCGAGAGATCAATCTCAGCAGGAAGAGGGTCGACGGGATGAGTAAGGCCCATTCTGACAGAATGTCCGGCACCGTGAATTCTCTCTAAAGTAAAAGAATTCCAATTAACTGGCCTCTCCAGGACGGCCTTGTAAAAAAGTTTAAGAAATCAACAGAAGGAACTGGCCGAATTTGGGGACCTGCGGAAAAGCGAGAAAATGTTAGAGCAGTTCGAAATAACATGGGAAACTTATTCAGTTAAGTCCTAGTTTCTACCCAAATTCGATGACCAGCGAAATCGGAGGAGTTCAGAAGAACTCTGAACAAAGAAACTATCTATACGGAAGAAAAACCAAAACTTCCTCCAGGCGTTGTCTTTTAAAGGCAGGCCATCAATAACATTCCGGTCTGCGACCGGATAAAAGGCATAATACCTAGAAGTTCGGGATTCACGAGCCTGGAAGAATTCCAAGAGCTCGTTAAGTCCCAGCGAGTAACCCGCCTCCGCCGCAACAGTGAAGGTACACATAAGATACCGAAGCATGTTGGGCGACATCTGAGAGAAGGCGATTCCCAGATGGTTGAGATAAATGAGAAGTATCTCGGGAAGAGGAAAGAACAAGCCGCATCCTTTGAAATAAATTTTATAGGCGCAGCAGTAACCCTCTCGCCCCGACTCCGGAGACTCATAGGGCTTTGGGACCACCATCTCCACTTCGGGGGGAATGTGGCATAAGCGACGAAGATCGTTAAGAGAATCAACAGTCGATTGACTCTCAGGGTGAAGATCAAACCCGTCTCCGGTTTGGATATGAGGTTCGGTTCCTTCACCTATATCGAGATCTTCAACCTCATACTCGCGAATTTCAGAAGGAAGGTTCGACATTTTACAAAAGTGGTTTTACCGAAAGGAAACAATAATCTCTGTAATAAGAGTGAAAGTTTTCTAGGTAAGAAAGATAAGATGGGAAAGTGATATTACCTCTTAGAACCCAAAAGTAAGATGGAAGACCGCCTCGGAAATATTGGGAAGCGGGACAGTTTTCCCCGCAGTATTAATATAAAATTAAGAAATTAATGATGACGGTTGTCAGGAAAATCAAATCATCTGATTATCCGAGATCGGCGTAACAGCATAAAACATGGAGAAATTCCAGAGTATTAAAGATCTCGAGTCATTAATTACTATTTACTTAAGTCTTCCAAGCCAAGCACTCGGCTCGCAAGACTTGGGGGGCTAAATGTTGGGGTCGGATCCCACACATTTTCGGTAGGATCCACTTGGATCTGTCCACGTCATTATTACATAATAATCCTCTCGGAATTCAAGATATTTTATTGAACTTGACCAGTTGGGAGTTCGATTCAGCTCACTAAAAGAGTTCGATCTTTACCAGTACGGAGTTCGCTCTTATTCAACATACAGTTCGGCCAAAGCGAGGAGAATATTGTTCAAGGCTTGCAGTAGCATCAATGCACGGGAGTTCGGAGTCAGCAAGAAAGAGTTCGGAAAGCCCATGTGAAGTCCAAGACAGTTCAAGTTCAAGCCGTTTTAGTCAAAATTGTAACTTATATGATTAATGCGGATCAATATAATTATGTACAGTGAATGACCGCATTAATCATGTTTTATGTATAAAAACAACCTCAAACGCATGTGTTTGAGGGAGAGATCTTTTTGACTGACTACTACCAGGCAATACAACATACTTTTTCTCTTACAATTTCGCAAGATTATTCGTACTTCGTTCTTATCAAATTTCTTTATTTCATTCTTTTATTGGTTAAACTTCCCTTTCGAATTCTCATTTTCATTTTGCTGATTTTACAAGAGTTTTTCTCCACTAAAATACTTAAAGATAATTGAGTGTAAATCCTACATCCACAGTAACAATGGCGAAATATAACTTGGCGAGTAAAAAAAAGTATTTAGTGCATACTCAAACAGTAAAAGAGGGGTGAAGTAAGGAACACCAGCGAGAATTATAGCAGAAACAAGTTTTTTGGTTTCAGCTTCAATGGAATCAGGCGAAAACTCAGCACAATCATTCATACCACCGACAGCGTGAGCATGAATGAGGAAAACAGTCATCAAGCCGGCATCAACATGAGCGGTCACCTGCGGGATGCAGAGAGACCTTTCAATTGAAAATGGAGTAGGTAAGAGCTGAGTCATGATTGGATTTAGAGACCCCTGTCTGAAGAGAATAGGAAGCATTCTGGAGACTGGCTCAAGATCCGTCTTGAGGCTGGCATCGGTGCGCAAATGAACATTACAATCGAGAACGGTAATCTTGGCACAATTGAGATCAATGCATAAGGCACCCAATGTTTTTTATCTATGTTGAATGGTAGATAGAGGTAATCAACTTCAGTAAATAGCTCAGCATAGTCGAAGTCGCCAACACCAGAAACAGCATCAACGAAAGCTTTAGGAAACTGAAAATCTTGAGGAACAGGAGCTTTGAAAAACTTCGGATATAGGCGGCACAATTGAGAGATAGACTTGGTATCAAGCACATCAGCACGAAGTTTTGCGCCATCGACCTCGTCTGTCTGGAGAATGTGCCTGCTGAATTTTAACAAGCCGTCCATGACCTACAAAAAATGTATTGAATTAACATTGTTATCGGGAATTTAATAATTTGTCCGGTAACAAACATTGTGATGCGAGAGGTAACCTTGTTGGACAAAGTTTTTTTCTCTCAATTAACTCCAGGACATCCTTGCTGCTAATAGTAACATCACCGACTAGAGAAATAGAGCTACATAACCGGTAATAAAAATATTAGCAAATTATGGGTAAAAGAAATACACTAGTTAAGTAGCTAACATATTAGGGGCAGAAGATAATAATATAAAATGAATAAAACCTGATCGCTTTCAGTTTCTTCATGGAACGGTTAAAACGCTCTTTAGGATCTAAATATCCACTAGTAAGATAGGCGATGGGAGAAGGGTGTCCTACCAACAACTTTGTTTTCTTGTCAAACTGAAACCGACCATCCAACTTGCTAGATATGGTTCTAAGCCTTTTACTCCTTCTTCCTCCAAGATTACCAACAACACTACTCTGAGATGGAACATCCGCCTGCAAAATAAAACGCTATCAAACTGATATTTTGAAAATAATGAATGATTGTAGATGCATATGAAGGAACAGACCTTTCCTGGGACCAAAACTTTGTTTGACTCGGTTATAGAAATTGGGGCAACCATAGGGGAGGGGGGATCCTAACAAGAAAAACGAAAAAAATTAATATTGATCTCACCTTACTAAAGTTAATGACTACGAGATAGATTATGAGGAAGATATTTCCCAAACCTGAGGAGGGACAATTACCATCTGGGAAGCAGCTTCACTTTGGGAATCCTATTAACCGATAACTGATTGTTTAGACAACTAATACTATTTTAAATGGGTAAGATATGATATGTCAATCGAAAATAAGAGAGACATTTTACCTGAATATGTTCCCTTTCCTTTGGTGCAACTTCTTCACTTGCTAATTCCTCTAACAGATAACAATAAAGTTATGTAATAAATAATTATATTACATGGTAAACTTATTTCTGGAAAAATTTTACAGACCTCGTCATCTCCTTTAGCTTCACTTTGGGAATCCTATTATCAGATAACTATTTGATTAGAAAACTAAAAAAATATTTAATGGATAAGATATGATATGTCAATCGAAAATAAGAGAGGCATTTTACCTGAATAGGTTCCCTTTCCTTTGGTGCAACATCTCCACTTGCTAATTCCTGTAACATATAACAATAAAGTTATGTAATAAATAATTATATTACATGGTAAACGTATTTCTGGAGAAATTTTACAGACCTCTTCATCTCCTTAGCTTCATTTTGGAGATCCTGTTGACAGATAACTAATTGATTAGAAAACTAAGAAAATGTTTAATGGGTAAGATATGATATGTCATTACAAAATAAGAGGGATATTGTACCTGAATAGGTTCACTTTTCTTGGGTGCAACATCTTCAACTCCTAACTCCTGTGACAGATAATAATAAAGTTATGGTTTTAATAATCATATTACCTGGTAAACGAAATTATGGGATAATTTTACAGACCTCTTCATCTCCTTCAGTATGTTCGGTTTCCTTATGGGCAACATCTTCAATTTCCAGATCATGTAATCCCTAACAATTTAGATATGTCAATAATATTAAAATTAACTACTAAACGTAATACATGGGAAAATTCACAAACCTCTTAATCTACTCTAGTAGAGTCAGAGTCGCTTACACCGGACTAACAATAAAAAGTAGCACCAATAAAAGTAAGAGACCTAAGCAATACTGATATAAAAATAATGGTAAATCAGACAAACCTCAGAAGAAACAGCACTGGCAGACTCACTGTCGACCTCCTGTGTTTCCTGAAAAAAAAAGAAAAAAAATATAAGATTAGAGAAAAAATCCATGTTAACGATCCCAAAAATAGTTCGATGTTAACGGCTAACCCATTGACGAGGAGCAACGTGCAGCTGAGGTTTAGAGTTTGTTTTTTGGTCATAGAGTGAGACTTGGTAGATTTTCCAACGTATAATTTATTTTGTTTTTGAGATTTGGAGTTTTACGAAATTTTAAACTTTGTACATTATGGAAATTTCAGTATTTTTATTATATTAGTCTTAAAAATGCTTCAAAAATTCTTTTGAATTTTCGGGGCGTTACACATCAACTCATTTGAGTCAAAATTTTCAACTCATTAGGGTTCTTGGGTTGAGTTGAGTTGGGTTGACCCATGAATCTTGACCTATTTTTACACCCCTAAGAACAGTGTTTCTCATCAGCAGCCACGTTTCTCATTATATATGTATCTCATTTTTTTTAGTTTTACATGGCCCCCATGTTTTCGGCTCGGTAAGATATATGTCTTTTTCGAAATTTTATGTATTTGATTAGATTTCACTTGTCACGATTTGCTTTTTTGCAGCGGCTGGCACATGGGTGTTTTAGAACGCCGCGGTTTTCCCAAACCCAAAAAATCTCTCGAATTATCACTAAAATCAAATCAGTTATTGCGGTTAAGGGTAAAAATGGGGAGGTGTCAACCCGTATTTTTAGTCAAGAATATATTACTCTATAATTGTTTGATTAATAGCAAAAATATTTTACTAATAGATAAGAGAAATACATGTAGTTCGAGAGGATCGAGGTGACCAAAAGCCGATTTTCTACATAAGTAAATCTCTTACCAGTCCAGAAACGAGATATACCATGATGGAAAAATTAGCTTTAGCAGTAGTCGTATCTGCTAGAAAACTCAGACCTTATTTCCAATCTCATCCGATAGAAGTTTTAACTTCTCATCCACTTCGCTCAATCCTTCACGGACCAAGTCAGTCCGGTAGATTGGCGAAATGGGCAATCGAACTCAGTGAATACGATATAGAATAAAAAAGTCGAACTAGCGCAAAAGCACAAGCTCTGGCTGATTTTCTAACTGAACTACCATTAGATGATGGAATCCTTATTGAAACGGACTCTACATGAAAATTACATGTAGATGGCTCTTCTTCTAAACAAGGATCCGGAATCGGTATTAGGCTCGAAACTCCGACAAAGGAAATAATCGAACAATCATTTCGATTAATCACATCATATTTTTAATATGTTTTACACCAAATTTTTTACTATAAACTTTTTTCTTTCTTATTAAACCAAAATTTTAAATAACATAGATGATACTAAAAGTATAAATAAAAAATAAAAGAAAATTTGTGTTAATAATAAACCATTATATTATGTTTGCATTAATAATGTCAATCTATAGCTACTTAAATGATTACTAACCCCATAAATATATATAAACAATTGTTAACAACAAACCCCCGGGTAGCGGGGGTTAATAACCTAGTTTAAGGAAAAAATAATCTTTTTCTTTCAGAATAAGCCTAGAACATGATAAGGCCACTTGATAAAGTTTACAAAGCAAATAATGGGGAAGCCCATTAGGCCAAATAAGCTCGACGTCGTATCTATTTTTATTTAATAAGATACATATAGTTTCCTTATAATTATCTTCTTTACTTTTCAAAAATTGTTTTTTTATAAGATATAATTTTGTAGTTGCCTTATATTTCTATTTTTATTTCATAAGATTCATCTAATTTCCTTATATTTATCTACTTTAGATTTTTAGAATTTTTTTATATAAATCTATTTTTTATTTATTTTGGTTTCTATATTCAATTTAAATTATATAAGATTTATAATATATCATAGTTCTAATGATTTTAGATAGGGACATGTGTCATGATTTAAATTACAAATTTACATTATCTATATTAATTTTATTTTCTAATTAATAATATGTGATGATTTGAAATAAAGTTTTATATTGTTTATTTGAAATTCTTGACCATATATGCTTCTTCTTTGTTTTTGATATTTTGAATTTAATTATACTCTTTCAAAATTGTTTATATAAGATTCATATATCATCGTGCTTATATTTTTTTGAGTTTATCAATTTTTATTGATTGATCATAAAGTTATTGCAATCGAGTATATAGGAATCGAACCCGCAACGTTAGTTTGGAAGGTTAAGGGATTTAGTCGATTTATCATCTTTATATTTTTAATATGTCAAATTAAAAACCAATTTGGTTTCATCCGCCAACTTTATGATGAATATTTTTAATTTTAGTTCTTCATATAAGTATATCATGAGTTATTGCTATGTGATATATCTTTCATTCAAAATAATTTTGAATTAATAATTTTGGTGGTTAAAGAAACAATGCAACAGTGAAAAAATAAATATATTATTTTAATTTCGAAAAAAATTTCTATTTACAACGTTGTTAATTAATAATTTTGTTATATTTGATTTTAATTTTTAAAAAATTAAATCTGTCCATCGAACGGGTCCTTATCTAGTATACTATGAAATAAAAATAATATGCAATATAGCCTTTTTAGCCATCTTTAAGTTTTTAAAATTTTGATAAATAATATATCAAATCGAATCCTCAAGACGAGAAATTCAACTCTACCTTTAGAATTTTAAAAATCAAATGTATGTGATCGTGAAAACGTTTACAATATATTTATAAGAATTATATTGCGTACATTTTTGACTTTATATAATTTATCTGCATTTTTTAGAGGCTAAGGATAAAAGCCGCAAAAATTGACGACTTTGAGGTTTTTTTTTTGAATATCTAACAAAATTACCAAATTTTTTCTTCAATCTTTTCAATTCTACCACATTTGTCTTCATCTTTCCACATATACCACATTTGAGTTGTGTATTATCTATTTTACCCCTATTGTCTCTTTCTCCTTTTTCTCTCTTTCTCTCTTTCTCTCTTCTCTCTCTTCTCTCTTCTCTCTCTTTGTCCACTTCTCTTTCTCACTCACGAAACCAAGCTTTTTTTTTTGCATATGATTTTTTCAAAACATAAAATTTAAATCCGATTTATTAAAAAATATCTTCTCTATCACGTTCATGTTCTTGTCCCTGACTAGATCTTTAGATTTTAGTTCCTTGATTCCTTGTTTTTATTTGTTTTACAAGTTGATAAATTTGACATGTGCATATAGTTTTCTTATATTTTTTTAAAATAAATAAAAAGAAATTTTCGTTCTACACGTGTCAAAATCTGAGATCGATAAAATTGACACGTGAAACGATCTTATGAGTTATTAACTTTGAAAACCATACTTTATATAATAAGATTGTTAAAGATTAACATACAACACAGAATTCAAATTTTATGGGCTTCTAGAAAATATCAAGACATAGCCCAACTGGAAATTGACAACAAAGAGAGATGCTTGATGGATTATTTTCAAAAAAGCCTAGAACATGATAAGGCCACTTGATAACGTTTACAGAGCAAATAATGGGGAAGCCTATTAGGCCCAATAAGCTCGATGTCGTATCAGAAACCCTCGATAGTTATATTGCATTTTTAACCTTCTTGAACCAATCCCAAATCAAGACCAAACCCTAATTTCATTCATTCACAGAACGACGAATGGCGTTTTTGCTCTCTCTAGATGGGGTTAAAATAAATAACCCTCTTGACAACAAAGATCCTTATCATTCTTACAAGGTGTAAAGGCAGCCCGTAGGTCTGCTGGGCTAACCTCCAGGTTAGGGGAACCAGATTTGTAAGTTTTAGCCCACAAAATTTTGAAGTCCAAGATTTTTTTAAAATAATGTTTTTCAGTTGAAAACAATAGGCTTTTGTGAGGTAATAACTATTTATGTAGGGGACATATATTCTAAATATTATTTTTTTGAAATTGTATCTCTTATGTTCCTATTTTTTTATAATTTAGTTTTAAAATTAAATAAAATTCTAAACCTAAACAAATATATATATATATATATATATATATATATATATATATATAATTTAATTATATTTGTTTATGATAACCTAGTAAAAATCTATTAATTGATATTCGCTTAAAACCCCGGGAGAGAAAGGAGAAAATAAGGAGAACAGAGTCGTACTTCAACCAACGGTTATAGGCTTCCAAACTCCGATGTATGTTGGACTAAGGTTGACTTGTTTTGGTTTACAATTTCAGTGGCGATATCTTCTCATGGCATTCTTTTGATATAACGAATGACGATAAAGAGAATCGGTGATTTCTCGATAGTCCTCCGGTTAATATATCTCTTGGCTTGCCAGACAAAACCGAAAATACCTATGTTATATTTTGGTGGTCCGCTGTTTTGGGATGAATTTTTTTCGTAGTTTCTCTTTCCTTCCTTTGCCAATTTTTCTTTAGGCTGTCAACCGTTTAATCTACAACCTTTCACATATTTGGTGGAAGGTGAAGCGGTTGGGCAAATTTTCTAATTTTCCTCTACCGAATTCAAGACCAAATATGATCAAGATCTTATTAGCTGTTGATTTCTCTCAATCTGACTTTAGTTGAGTGTACTCAATGTTATCATAAACAAATATAATTAATCTGTTTATATAGTTGAGTGTACAATATGGCCTTATAATTATCTTCTTTACTTTTTAAAAATTGTTTTTTATAAGATATAATTTTGTAGTTGCCTTATATTTCTATTTTTATTTCATAAGATTCATCTAATTTCCTTATATTTATCTTCTTTAGACTTTTAGAATTTTTTTTATATAAATCTATTTTTTTATTTATTTTGGTTTCTATATTCAATTTAAATTATATAAGATTTATAATATATAATAGTTCTAATGATTTTAGATAGGGACATGTGTCATGATTTAAATTACAAATTTACATTATCTATATTAATTTTATTTTCTAATTAATAATATGTGATGATTTGAAATAAAGATTTATATTGTTTATTTGAAATTCTTGACCATATATGCTTCTTCTTTGTTTTTGATATTTTGAATTTAATTATACTCTTTCAAAATTGTTTATATAAGATTCATATATCATCGTGCTTATATTTTTTGAGTTTATCAATTTTTATTGATTGATCATAAAGTTATTGCAATCGAGTATATAGGAATCGAACCCGCAACGTTAGTTTGGAAGGTTAAGGGATTTAGTCGATTTATCATCTTTATATTTTTAATATGTCAAATTAAAAACCAATTTGGTTTCATCCGCCAACTTTATGATGAATATTTTTAATTTTAGTTCTTCATATAAGTATATCATGAGTTATTGCTATGTGAGATATCTTTCATTCAAAATAATTTTGAATTAATAATTTTAGTGGTTAAAGAAACAATGCAACAGTGAAAAAGTAAATATATTTTTTAAATTTCGAAAAAAATTTCTATTTACAAAGTTGTTAATTAATATTTTTGTTAAATTTGATTTTAATTTTTAAAAAATTAAATCCGTCCATCGAACGGGTCCTTATCTAGTATACTATGAAATAA